AGGCTATGACCCTGACTTGGACTTCTAGCCTCCAGACGGTGAGAAAATAAATTTCTACTCTTTAAAGCTACCTACTTGTGGTATTTGTGTTACATCAGCACTAGTTAACTAAGACAGACATAATTATACCAGAAACTTAACTTAGGGATAGAATTATCATTAAACACTATGTTAGCCCTAAGCTTTCTGGGACTCAAAGCAGGTTTGAAATGGGGCAAGGAGGTGATATTTCAAAATGTTTGATACTCTCTGGCCTAGGGAAGTCATAGGATAGTTATTAGCCCTGGAAGGTGTCTTAGATCAAGCCTAATTCTTCCTCTTCCGCTATGAGTTGGATTCGACTCATAGCGACCCCTCTTTGGGTTTCCGAGGCAGTATCACTGTGGAAGTAGATTGCCCAACCTTCTGAGGAGTGGCTGGTGGGTTTGAACTGCCAGCCTTCTGGCTGGCAGTCAAATGTCTTAGGCACTACACCACCAGAGATTGTAAATATGAATTACGTGCCTCTTCTACCTTTCTGTCCTTCATACTACACAAAAACATTGTTCTACATCCTACTTTGTTGAGTAATGACTGAGGTCTTAAAAGTTTGCAAACAGCCATCTAAGATGCAACAGTTGGTCTCCCTTTATTTGGAACAAAGAAGAATGAAGAAAATCAAAGACACATGGAAACAATTAGTCCAAGGGACTGGTGGACCATAAAAACCTCAACTGGAATGAAGAGAAAATAAGTACCTTGCCCCAAATTAGCATCTAGCTGGCAGCACAGACAGGCAATGGTGTGTCCCTACTCCTATCCAATACTCTCTTTGCTACAGGAAGTGTTGGGTTTGCTAAGAAACCCTGTCTATCATAACACTTAGGGATATGGCAGCATCAAATTACTGGGGCAACCAAGGACCATGGCTAGGGAATATCCCAAAAGCAAATCTAAGCCATCCTGGCACAGGCAGACAACTTGAACCACAAAATTCACAAGACTAATACCATTCAAGAAAGTTAAGACATATTAGGACCATAATATGTCTTCCCTCCTCCTCCTCTCTTTCCTGTAATTCCACTTGTTCTCACCTATCCATTGCTTCTGAATGGCAGAGATTTTCCACTAAGTAGGTTGTTTTAATCTCCCATTAAAATAATCTCTTTCTGATGAGAGGTTATTTGCTCTCAGAACAGAAACACCGCTGTGAAATATTTCATTCTTTCTGAAACACCTGAAGCTAAAGACTCATAGCATCCTAAGCCACAGTCTTCAACAACAAGTAAAATATATAGGATAGCAATTTACCCAGACACCTGAATGTCAAATACATCCAAATTATAAAACAATATTAAATTAATTTTTTCTGCAATCTATTTGTAAAACTCACACCACTGTAATATTTTAAAGAACAATCTGTTAAGTCATGCAATGTGAGGTGCTGGTGCAGTTCCAATACATCAGGGAGCTGCAAATGACCGGTTGTTGGGTCACAGCGGCCTGCCCACGAGATCATAATGGACCACTGCAGTGTCATGTGCTCATTCACAGGAACAAGTAGTTACGTTTCAGTTCTTCCTAAATTTGGGCAGATTACAACTCCTTCTAAGCAATGAAAGGTAATCCTGCAAATAGGAATTACATGCCTTTTCTACCTTTCTGTCCTTCTGCATAAAAGACAAGTAAACCCTAGAAAAATTATTAATCCATGTTTCACACATTTCAGCTAAGACATCTCTTACATTTCTGTTAGTCATTTATACTACAAAATGAACTAGGACCTCTTAACCACATTAAGAGATCTGATACTATTTATTGGTTTAAAGAAGAGTATTCCTGGGATAAAAGTATCTGGAAACCTATATTAGCTATATTAGCTTTTTAAGATTATTAAGCTCTGGTAGCATAGTACCTAAGGCACTTGACTGCTTACCAGAAGGCTGGCGATTCAAACCCACCAGCCACTCCTCGAAAGGAAGGTTGGGCAATCTACTTTCGTAGTGATACTGCCTCAGAAACCCAAGGAGTGGTCGCCATGAGTTGGGTCCGACTCAATGGCACATAACAACAACAACAAGAATTAGTAAGGGAGCTCTGGTGGCATAGTGCCTAAGGCACTTGACTGCTAACCAGAAGGCTGGTGATTCAAACCCACCAGCCACTCCTCGGAAGGAAGGTTGGGCAATCTACTTCCATAGTGATACTGCCTCGGAAACCCAAGGAGGGGTCGCTATGAGTTGGGTCCTACTCAACAGCAAAATAACAGCAACAAGAATTAGTAAATCCTTAATTCAGGCAACAATGGTACATGGATGGATAAATCAAATTAATGCCCAACGTAACACACTACACAAAAACATTGTTCTACATCCTGCTTTGTTGAGTAGTGACTGGGGTCTTAAAAGTTTGCAAACAACCATCTAAGATGCAACAATTGGTCTCCCCTTATTTGGAACAAAGAAGAATGAAGAAAATCAAAGACACGTGGAAACAATTAGTCCAAGGGACTAGTGGACCATGAAAACCTCAGCCTACATGACCCTGAGATGAGAAGAACTAGATGGTGCCTGGCTGCCACTGTCAACCACATGAAAAGGGATCAGAATAGGAGATCCTAGATAGAGCGGAAGAAAAATGTGGAACAAAACTCACAATCATCAAAAAAGACTGGGCTTACTGGTCTGATAGAGACTGGTTAAACCCCCAAAACTAGGGTCCTTAGTCACCCTTTGGG